TATATATATATATATATATATATATATATATATATATATATATATATATAATACAAAGGCATGTCTGCACATATAAATGCTTTATAAAAAAACTAGTGGAAACCCATGCGATGCACAAGTTTTGTTAAGCGGAAGCTAAACAATATAAATACATAAGAGTATACAATTGTTTTATATTTTAACTTTTTTAAATAATTAACAATTATGTATATTTTATATACTACTTTTAATAATTTTTTACAATACAAAAAAAATAATAATTAATTTTAGCTATGATGGTTCTTCAAACTGATGAAACCGACCAACCCGACCCAACTTGACTTGATTTGGTCGATTTTCTAGTATTTTCCGGTCAGCTTTAGTTCAACAATTTCCCAACCCGGCCAAGTCAGGTCAGTGTTGGTTTGGCCATTTATAAACCGACCAAAATTGAACCGACCTAACCATAGATATAAATATTTTATATTTTAAATATAATTTTTAATATGGGAAGTGAGAAAATTCCCTTATTTCTTAATCCAAAATATGTTATATTATAAATTTAAATGATTTATTTATTTAGTAATAATATTGTTGTAATTTTTTAATTTAAAATTAATTTTTGAGTTTAAATCTTTTGAGTCGATTGACCAAATTGATACAACTCAAGCTGGATGATTTTTATTAATGGTTGGTCAGTTTCCGATAAACCTGTATACGGGTAGGCTTGGGCTAGGCTTCTCCTCTTTATAAATAGAAAATGACCAGGCCTAAGCCCAATCCCAGCCCATCCATCAGGCATAGATCTTGAGCCCAAGGCCGAAGCCTGATCTAGGCAAATATTTTATATTATATTAATTATACATTATTAATAATATATCATATTTTATATATTATAATATATAATACCTTTTTCACTACTATATATATTATATTTTTTACTATATATAATATTTTTGGGTCCGGCTTAGGACAGGCTTATTTGGGAAACCCCAAGCCCGACCCAAAAAATAGTTGAGCCCAATGTTTAAAACCCAAGCCTGAGCCCGTGGGATTAAAACATTGTCCAAGCATGATTTAGAATGGGCCGAGCTAGGCCAACCAGTTGGGCTACCCAGCCCATTAACATCTAGTTTCGGGTGACCAATTCCCCAATCCAACCAAGTTGGTTTAGTTGGCCAAATAGTCTTCAACTGAACCGAAATGACCCGTGAACACTCCTAATTTTAGATAGATTAATACTCTAGTTTCTAATAAATAGAAATAGTTTAATCTCAAATAATTATTGAGAATTTATAGTGAAAATACATAATTATTGAAAATAAATTTATAATGAAAATAAAACAAATAAGTAATAAATATACAATGAATACAATAATTATAAAAATACAATAAATACTAAAAATATATTAAATTAGTCAATAAATAGTGCAATATCTAATAATAGTTTAATCTCTAACAAATATTAATCAATAAATTATAGAAAAAAATACAATAAATCCAATAAATATAATAAATTAAATTTAAAAGTTAAATAATAATACAATTTGATGATGCACTTGGGTTGGCCAATTAGCCCACATTAAAATAAAATTTAATACAAAGGCATGCATACATGCGGGCTAGGCCTAGGCCTGGCCCAAAAAATAAAAAGAGTCCAAACTTTTGAACCTAGGGCCAGCCCAATGCCCTAAAATCCAAGCCTAATATGTATAAATTTGCAGGTTGGGCCCGCCCCTACCGCTGGGTTATCGAGGATTTAAAATTAAGATTTTATCTATACAATAAAATTTATTTGAATGGTGTATTTTTTACTAAAGGGTCAGGGGTATAAGCTTTATACTAGTTAGCTTTTCAATTCATTTTATTCATGATATATAATATCAAAGCAAGTTTTAGTTTATTTTATTAAAAATAAATATATAATATTTTGATCATTTTCAATTAAATTCATTACTGCAATTAACTATCCATTTATGATTTGGATTTACTTGAATCCAAATATTAGCAAATCAAATTTAGATCTAGGTGTTGCCAATCCCAGTTGATTCATCTGCAGCGCTACAATTTATTTCCCATGCACTCAAATATGCTGTTAAAGATTTCTAATACCCCACATTTGCCAACTAGCAAGGTATGAGGGTCCCGATTCCAGACCCTAGTCTTGTCGATTTCGGATCTCCCGCCCACGAGAACCCTGCCCATGTCTATCCATAACACACTATCCCCCGTGAACTGGGAACATCTCCCCCTGCATAATGCTATAGAGGATGAAATGTTCTCCATGTGTGGCTGCGATAAATGCGGGTAAGAGATTCAAACTCGGTCTTATCACCCCCATATTCCAAGAGCAAGGTTTAGCTGAACACTAAGCGTTCACCTGATCTAAATTCGTATTCCAAATGGATTTGGTGAGTTTAACTGGTTATGTTGGGTATTCGGGTCGGGTTGGTTATGATTTGTCTCTCCTACATTACCCTACCGAGGTTGGATTCAGTCCTCACAAAATTGTTTTCACATGGTTCACTTCTCACACTTTTTTCAGCTGTGCATTGGAAACATCTCCATACCTATATCTTTTTATTCATGGACAGATATTCTCAATACACGTGTAACCTGTACGGGGATGTGAAAACAGTCTAATATGGTTTTGTGAGGATCAAATCTGATTTCTACCCTATCATGCCACAAACGTTTTGTTTGGAAGTCCCAATCACCTACCAACAAAATACATTCCAATACCCTACCAACACAATCTAACACTGTACATCTCATGTATGGTAGGTCTCACTTTTATGGTACATCTCAGTCTTATGGTGAGATGTCTTATGGTGAGATGTGTGGTGTCAGATCATATTGATAAAGGGTTGGAATGTATTTAGTTGGTACGAGATCTCAATTCAAACGTTTGAAGCTTATGGTGTGTTCCATCGCCACCGTTGATTTTTTTAATGTACTTCTCAAACGGGCCATTCTTTAGGGAATTAGAATCTGCTCCTCACAGAGCGCGCAACATCTCCCCATGAAATATAAATGCGAGTATGGGTGATGTTCCCGATGTACGGCCAGGACATGATGTGAGGCGCCTTGTGAGGAGTAGATCCGGACTCTTCTTCAGCGGTTTATTTTGTTACGACAGTTGGGAGTGTGTGACTCTGTGGGGGTGGTTGTCAACTTATCATCCTATTCCTATTCTACTCATTTTTATTTTATTTTTATTTCGCGCGAATACTCGATCAATATTCATTATCGCGTTACGGACAGAAGGCAACGATATTAATTAAAGAGAATCAAACGTGACGATCCAGTTTTACTCGGCCACGGCTGAAGAAAGGACTTGAAATTACGATTTACGAAGTAGAAAGAAACGACACAGAGAGAAGCTAGAACAACACGAGCAAGCAATAGACAAAGAAATGATCGTGGGTTGAAGGTTCCCTAACCAGAGAAGAAAAAAAAATAGACGAGAACGTAGAATAAAAATTAAAAAACCCAAAAAAATTGCTCCAATTTCCAGCACCCCGTCGTCGTCATATATATTTCTTTCCCACTCGTTTCTTTGGAAAACCGCCTGGAGCTGGGAAGCTGTCACATCTCCAATGAACGACTCTCAACGGTAACTCCCTCTCATTCCTTGTTTTGTTTATTTTAGTTCCAACGATCCAATTCAGTTCAACTGAATTCAAATCATCTGGTAGTAATCCATTAAGTTATGTCCAACCGAAGAACAATAAACCATCGACAAGAAACAAACAGACCCATCTTTGATTTCTTCTCTATTACCTTCCACTCTCTGTTTTATTAGTAGTTTAGCGTTAGAAATCCATTGTTTGTTAATGGAGAACTACAGTTCATATCCTTACCACGATCCATATCGATACCCTCCACCTCCCTCTCTTCCTACCCCTGCTCCTCCTCCAAATTCAGATCCATACGCACCATCTCCAACACGACCATCTCTTGGTAATACTTATTCTTATAATTCATCTGCAACTCATTCCTTCAATTATCAACAATACCCACCACCCCCAGATTGTCCTCCTGCTCTTCCATACTCGAGTCATTCTGGGTCTTTAGAATATCATTATCCCCAACCTTCTTATCGAGCTATGCCCCTCTATCAACACCCATATCCCAATCCCCCTGTAATACATAATTCTCATCACCCTAGTCCACAACAACACAATGGCATTTTTCAATATGGTACATCGCATTACCCTCCGCAACAGACCGTTCAATATCCTCCACCTGAAAGTTACCTGATAGTTCATGGCCGTGCCAATAGCTTCTCTGGTTACCCCCACCAAGATAGTTCACTGCATACTAGTGTTGTCTCTTCTCCAAATCATGATGGTTTAGGTGATTCATCCCCATCCTGCCCCTCACTTTATCCTCCTGTAGATCTTCTAGGGAAGGTGCAATTGTCTGATTACCCTCCCACTGCCCCGAATTTGCCATCTACACCACAAGTCTCAAATCCTCCTCTGAGGTTTCAAAGCCAAAGTGCTAGGTATAGTAACGGAGCGGATATGTATGGTTATCCTAATAATTCATTTTCGAGTGGTGGGGAGACTTTTTATTCAGGTTCAATTGCTTCATCTCCACAACCAGTTTTTTCCCATTCGGTTTCATTTGATGGCTCACATTATAGTCAGAGTCTGCAGATTGTGACACTTCAATCAGCTGAGGCATCTTTGAAAGTCTTGCTGTTACATGGGAATTTAGATATTTTGGTGTATAAAGCTGCAAACCTTCCGAACATGGACCTGTTCCATAGGACTCTAGGTGACATGTTTGCCAGATTACCAGTGAATGTCAGCAACAAAATTGAAGCTCACGTGTCTCGTAAGATAACCAGTGATCCATATGTCTCTATATCTGTATCTGATGCCGTAATTGGCAGGACATATGTGATAAGTAATAGCGAAAACCCCATTTGGATGCAGAGATTTTATGTTCCTGTTGCCCATTATGCTGCAGAGGTGCATTTTGTTGTCAAAGACAATGATGTTGTGGGTTCCCAGCTTATAGGGGTTGTTAAGATCCCAGTTGAGAAGATATTTTCAGGAGAAAAGGTTGAGGGAACTTTTCCAGTCCTCAATTCAACTGGGAAGCCCTGCAAGCCTGGAGCTTCCTTGACCCTGTCAATTCAGTATACCCCAATAGACAAGCTGACGTTTTACCATAACGGAGTTGGGTCGGGTCCCGATTATAGTGGTGTTCCAGGTACATATTTTCCTCTTAGGAAAGGTGGAAGAGTTACATTTTATCAAGATGCCCATGTTCCTGATGGTTACCTTCCAAATATGAAGCTTGATCATGGAATGCACTCTGAGAATGGGAAATGTTGGAATGACATCTTTGATGCATTAAGTCAGGCCCGTCGATTAATTTATATTACTGGGTGGTCTGTGTACCACAAAGTCAGACTGGTTAGAGATGCTCCTTATGCATCAGAATGCACCCTCGGGGATCTTCTTAAGTCCAAGTCACAGGAAGGTGTGAGAGTACTGCTGCTTGTATGGGATGATCCAACTTCAAGGAACATTTTGGGTTATAAAACAGTAAGGAAAATAACCTCCTTGTTGTTTTTGTTGTCATTATCATTGTTGTTATTATTATTACAAACTCATTCATTGAACATTATAAGAAGGAAAAAGGTTAATGGAATAACTCTAAACAGCTTAAGCCCACAAGTGAAATGGTTAATATTTTGTTCCACAAAAATGAGGCTGTAGGTTTTATACCTTGATTACACTCACTGAAGAAAAGAGGATGATTCCTGATTTACTTATTAACAGATCAGTTTATGTGAAGAAGATTTTCAGTTGGATGCTTAAAATTCTGAAACTAAAGCTCAAATGTTCACTATAGCTCAACTTTTGGGGTGGGTCCAGGATTTTAGGGAATTGAGAGTTGTATCCCCATTTCCCCTATCTGTTTCCCTGTCTGTATTTGTATCTGGGCATCATATGTTTTATATCATATGTGTCCCCCCGCCCTCCCAGGGGGGATAGCTTGATCACCTTTATTCTAAAGTGCTGAAATTAGTTACCAATGACCAAGCAACTGTAACCAAAAGATTGCTTTAACAGGTGGTATAATAGCTATTACCTTTTACCGTTGGGACAAGGCTTAGATGTTGATGATGATATGCCCATTGCAATCTCTTCAGTATCAGAATGTTAATTTGTCACCTAAAGAGTTCCAAAAGAAAAGGAGAGAAAAGTAAAAGCACATATCGGTTCCTGTATGCTATTGTTATTTGTGCTTATTTTCTCCAATTTTTCCTGTTATGATCCTATATGGTTCTTGGTTAAGTAAAATCAGTATCCTTCATGGATCTTTTCATTTTGGTTCTGGTTGAAATGTCATACCTGAATCAAGTTTTTATTCAGAGCTAAGTTTCTATAAGAGAGTTTTGCCTTATGTCTGCTTATCATCCCATGAAATGTAGGATGGAGTGATGCAAACCCATGATGAGGAGACTCGCCAATTTTTCAGGAACTCCTCAGTACAAGTATTACTGTGCTCCCGATCTGCTGGTAAGCGACATAGCTGGGCAAAAAAACAGGTCAGTAATAAATTATTATTTTATGTATATGGTTATATGCTAGAGATACAGCTTTAAATATTAAACATTTCTTTGTATCATGTTCAAATTCCATATTTGAATTCATGAAATCAGCTAATCATTGAATATTTCTTTGTATCATATCATACTAGTCAAGTTTTTGACTGTTTTATACAACTACAGATTATTGTTGACATTTATCAATAATATCACGTACTAATGGAAGAGAAAAAAATTACTGCGTGAACTATTCCTTCAGTAAATTTAAGAACTTCACTGACAATATATTACTAGTAATTTCTCTGGCATTGAAACATGGACATTTTCCTGATTATATTGTCAGTAATATCTTAAAGCTTTTGGAAAATTTACTTATCTGTATTAAAGTTCAATTATTCTTTTTGTATTTTTATCTTTTACTTTGATATATCTAGGGTGGTGGTTTCTTCTATCTGTGCATGTCATGGTTTTATGTACCAAAGGTCATAGACTCCCACATCAATCAATACTTGTACTCATGTTATATTTAGGTGGATGTTCACCCATGAAATTTTTATTCATGCTAGTAGGATTTATTTTTAATTTCTAGAGTTTCTTGTCACGTATCTCTTTCATTCTTGGTGTTTGAAATTGGAAATTTGCAAGGAACTTATCTTTCTAAATTTTTGGTCCCCAGGAAGTTGGTGCAATCTATACACATCATCAGAAAACTGTCATTGTGGATGTCGATGGTGGTCATAACAAGAGAAAAATTATAGCTTTTGTTGGAGGACTTGATTTATGTGATGGGCGATATGATACCCCCAAACACACTTTATTTACGACATTAGAAACGGTGCATAAAGATGACTATCATAACCCTACATTCACGGTAACCTATTATCCTTATTTTTGTTAATTTGTTTAACTATGTTGCTCTTCCATATTTCTGGTGGGCTTCACTCATACTTATGATTCTCAAAATGAGAACTTCCCTCAATAAATCTCTACTCAACTTACTTAGGCTTTAGCTGACTGTTATTTGCTTAACCAATATGCCAAAAACCTTAAGACTGTTGGGATACATCAAGCCAACCTGTTTAACATTTAGGACCACAACACACCAACATGCTTCTGGAGCCGATGTCTCGGCAGCTTCACTCTGGGAAGCTCTCACTCTAGCAGAAGGTAGCCCTCTCCATGATGACTTACAATCTAGCAGCAGGTAGCCCTTCCCCTTGGCAGCATTAACTCTTCTCTAGGTAGCCTTTCCATTATGGCTTTCACTCTGCTCTAGGCTTCCCTTCTCCCAGCTATCCCTTTTTTGTGATTTGAACTTGAAATGTGGTGGTAGGCTCTGATACCATTTGTTACATACTTGACCAATACACCAAAAGACTCAAGACTATTGAAACACATCAAGCCAAGCCATTTAACATTTGGGACCGTAACACTGACCTTGCCCATTTCTCAGTGCACCTTGGTATATTGCAGTAAGACACTTCTAATGAACACCATAGGCTTGAAACCAATGGGTCAAGATTCATGTTTTAAGGGTTGGGGAAAATGTTCCAAACAACTTTACATGTTCTTCCTTTCTCCGGGAGGACAAACAGTGTATAAGATAGTCCAATCTATAATTTGAATTTATTTTAAATCAAATTATAACTTCAATACATGTAACTTATGAGGTGTGTGCATCATAATATAAGGTAAATTTTGTACCTTAATGTTGCTCATATTAACAAGCTGAAATTGCAATTCAACTAGAGGAAGCACTGTACTTTTTTCTTTTTTGATAGAAAAAGGAAATTCATTAAAATAAAAAAGAAGATATAAAATCTGGAGCAAAATTTATGGTGCATTCTATAGAAATTGCTGCAACATAATTCAAAGGTAAACAAACCAGTGATAAAGCAGCACGTCACAGTGACATCTTTAACATTGTTAAAAACTTTAGTGGTAAGTATACCTTGTGTAACATGAACCAATGAAAAGTAAATAGACCATGCAGCGTCTTTAATGTGATTGGTTGAAATTTTGAGTTAACATACAGCAAATATTTGAAATGCATCATAGTTGAACTCAAGATCCAGTGATAAGATATCATCAATAGAAGAGAACTGAAAACCACCTACTATACCCAATACAATGAACCCTCTCTTCCTTGAAACTAAAAGAAGGACCATTTAAAGATCACTTTAAATTATTGATGACACATCTTTTATTTTTTGCATCTTCTGCTATGTTATATACTAATATTTTCTAACATGCTTTATGCATAAGTTTATTGTTTCATTTTTTGGCATTTAGTTATTATTAATTCTTCTTCTGGTCAAGTTTTAGGATTTCAATTTGATATTGCATATTTGACAAGTTTCTTTTCTTATGCTTACAGCATATTTGCAGTATTTCTGTACTGTTCGATTCCTCGAATTCTTTATAACTATAATCATTGCATAAATGCCATATTGTTCTAATAAACATTTACATATTATATTCTTTAATTTGTTGCATTAAATATAGTATTCTTATTTGCCAGAGTACATAGTGCTCTACTCAACCAGGGGTTGGTGCCTTGCGGCCATGGTACTGACTGAGGAGTTTTTTATGATAGCTGAAGTGGCTGAATTCAAGGACTTATTACTTTGTATTCTAGTGGATAAAGTAATTAAACAACGGAATTTGAAGGTGTAGTAATCAAACCAACTTCAGATTATCCATTAAGGAGTTCACAATCTCCCTAATAACTTATTCACTAAAAAACAAAGTAATAAGTTATTCAGTTCAGCCATTTCAGTTATCAAACAGCCTTCAATGTCAAATGGTTGGGACTGTTGTTAATGGTTCAGAAGTTTGAATTCAAAGTGTTCAACCAGTAAATAGAAAAAAGGAAGGAGCATTAGAAATAAATAAACCACTAAGAGGAATGAATAAATGAATTTAGACCAAGTTTGACCAGAAATGGTCCTGGAGTTGATCTGAATTGTTTTGGTGACTGATTGATGGTTAGAGAAGATTCAATCATCTAGTCCAGTCCAGTTTTCCAAATCATTATTAGTAACACAGTGCACAGATTTATATGGAAAATGCATGTATTTTTTAAATCATTTTTGTCATGGCGATAAGAGAATGGAAAACCTTTAAAAGCAAGCCCTTTTTTGGCCAAGTAGAATCAACTCAATTCAAACGTTAGGCCGTTACCAATAATTCATTTTTTGAAATTATAAATACTTAATTTTCTTTATGATATTTATTTGTTTATTTCCATCTGAGAAGGGATCTACCATTGGTTGTCCAAGAGAACCATGGCATGATTTGCACTGTAAAATTGAAGGTCCAGCAGCTTATGATGTTCTTACCAACTTTGAAGAGCGCTGGTTGAAGGCTTCAAAACCTCAAGGGATTAAAAAACTGAAAATATCATATGACGATGCCTTACTCAAACTAGAAAGAATTCCTGACATCATTGGGTTTCATGATTCTGCTTGCCTAAGTGAGAATGATCCGGAGTCTTGGCATGTCCAGGTAAATTGGATGGCTTATTACTGATATTAGATTTTCAGTAATTGATATGGTTCTTATAACTTTTTTCTATTGATATCCTCCAAAAATGAAGATTTTCCGTTCAATTGATTCAAACTCTGTGAAAGGCTTTCCCAAAGATCCAAAAGATGCTATAAACAAGGTGGGAAGAGAATAACATATTAGCTTTCTCATTTTTGTGGTTGTTGGATTCTAGGGACTATTTTTTATTATCATTTTTTCTTTCATAGTTAATTAACTACCATGTTGAATGCAACAGAACCTTGTTTGTGGTAAAAATGTCCAGATCGACATGAGCATACATACAGCATATGTAAAAGCCATCCGAGCTGCCCAATATTTCATTTATATTGAAAACCAATACTTTCTTGGTTCGTCATATAATTGGTCGTCATACAAAGACTTAGGTGAGGAACTATGACTACACCCTATTTTGGTGGAATGAAGATTATCTTGTTGTTTGGGTTGTCAACAAACTGAAGATTCTTTACCTGTTGGACTGTTAAAATGTGATATTCTGTATCTGATATGATGTTACTCCAGATTCTTTACATTTTACTTGTGATTGATATCTGTCCGATTCTTGAAACCAAGGTTTAAGGTTTTTACTTTTATTTCTAAGTGCATTTTCATTTTACTAGAAAATAAATATGCTAGAGGGAAAAGGTGATGTTTGGAGTATATCCACTGAATTGAGAACTGATTAAGAAGAGCATGGATGTTTCCGTTGAAAATTGCTGGGATGTAAAAATAACTATAATTTCACTTCCAAAATCTACCAAGAAATCTGTGTTTAATTAGAATAAAGATCAGAGACAGTAATATGTGCTGCCATGCTGGTTATGATATATAGCTCATCATACATTCATCACCATTTTCAATTATCCATCTAAAAAGCATTTGATGAAGTATGTAAACATAAGAGACTAAATACTATTCTTACCTTTTGGTGCTTAATATCAGGAAAAATTCTGTTCTGGCTCAGAATTGTCATCACTATCATTAGTAGGTTAGTTATGGCACTACCACTCTACATAGTTACAATACAATATTCAGATTAATTTTGTAAAGATATCAGGTCAAATAATAGCTGGAACATCCTTCCAAAATTTAATAATTGTATCATTGTCTATTGGTAATACACCTTGTGGTTGTAGATGTGAATGTGCTTGAATATTTTCGTATCAACAGACTCAAAATAGAATTTAATATTTACCCACTGATTTCAGCCTGGTAGGAAGAGGAGAGAAAGAGAAGAGGAAGAAGAGAAGAAAGAGTTGAGAAAGCCAAAATATAGGCTGGTGGCGCCAAACCCTGAATATATAGACTAGGGCGATTGTACAAAATAAAAGAAGATGAAAAGACAAAAATGCCCTTGCAGCACATGGTACATATTACATCACTCCCCCTCGAGTTGGGACATAGATGTCAATCATCCCCAACTTGTCACAAAGATCATAATGCTACAATGAGTTTAATCCCTTAGTAAAAACATTTACAAGTTGTTCCTCAAAGCTAATATATGAAGTGCACACTTTTCCCTCCTCAAGTTTCTCCCTGATGAAATGTTTGCCTACCTCAATGTGTTTGGTTCTGCCATGGAGAATTAGATTGGCTGCAATGTTAATAGCAGATTTATTGTCACAATAGAGTGGCATAGGATCATCAAAGTGAAAGCCCAATACACCCAACAGGTTCTTGACCCATAGTAATTTAGCAACTCCATGTGACATGGCCCTGTATTCTACCTTTGCACTCGATTTGGCCACCACACTTTGTTTCTTACCTCTCCAAGTAACAAGATTTCCTCCTACAAAGGTACAATATCTGCTGGTGGATTTTCTGCCGTCCATTGAGCCAGCCCAAATCAGCATCAGTGTAAACCTCTACCCTCATATGTCCATGCTTCTTAAAGAGAAGGCCTATTCCTGGGAACTTCTTTAAGTATCTGAGAACCATGTTTGTTACCTGTAGGTGTGCTGCCTTGGGTGCCTACATGAATTGACTGAGGACACCCATGGCATATGCAATGCTAGGCCTAGTCATAGATAAATTGAGAATCTTGCTCACAAGTCTTTATTACTGCCTTGAATCTTTCAAGATCTCACCACTGTAATCCCCAAGTTTGTGATTGGCATAGGGGTGTCAATAGGTTTAGCTCCTAGCTTTCCTGTATCCTTCAGAAGATCTAGGGTGTACTTCCTTTGAGAAATGAAGATACCTTGTTGAGAGCGAGCAACTTCAATTCTAAGGAAGTAGCATAAAGGCCTTAGATCCTTTACTTCAAACTGTGTAGCTAAGAATTTCTTTAACCTTTGTACCTCTTAGACCTAGTCTCTGGTGATAACAATGTCATCCACATAGACAATCAAGAATGTCGTTTTTCCTTGTTCCTTCTTCATAAAGAGTGTGTGATCAATTTGACACTACTTAAAATCCATGTGTTGTATTGCCTAGTGAAACCTGCCAAACCCTTGGAGAATATTTTAGGCCATATAAAGATTTCTTCAATTTGTAGACTTTCTGTTCACTGCCCTTAGCACAAAAACCAAAAGGTTGAATCATGAATACTTCCTTCTCCAAATCACCATTCAGGAAGGCATTTTTTGTGTTTAGTTGATGAAGTTCGTAGTCAAGGTTTGCAGCTAAAGAGAGAAGAACCCAGATAGAATTCATTTTTGCAACAAGAGAAAAAGTCTCAGCATAATCAACTCCATACACCCGTGTAAAGTCTTTTGCAGCCAGTCGAGCCTTGTATCTCTCCACAGTGCCATCTACATTATGTTTTACAAAGAACACCTATTTCTCCATTGGCTCCTTTCCCTTGGGAAGATCTACCAACTACCACGTGCCATTTTTGTGTAGGGCATTGATTTCTTCCTTCATTGCATCTATGCACTCAAGAACAAGTAAAGCCTTTACAATGCTCTTAGGGAGAGGAACATTATCAATGGAAGATAAAAAAGCACAAAATGATGATGAGATGTTCTCACAAGACAAGAAATGAATCATGGGATGGTGTGTGGTGCATGATCTGACACCCTTCCTTTTTGAAATAGGGAGGTTTAGTTCACAACTTGAAGTGTCAATGTCAATAAGTTTAGGGGTATTGACTGGAATAATGGTACTTGGGTGTGATGAAGGATCCAACCCCTGAGAGTCCGATGGCATTGGTTGGATAGCTTTTGGCGACTCTGTGGCAATTAAACTTTGTTGGCCTTGACTTTTGTAACGTTGTCTCTGGAAGACACAGAATGGAGGAGGATTAAGAAGAGAAGGCAATAAAACTTGTGTCTATTTCTGTTTCTTCTCAATTGGACTCTCCCCCTAAGGGGAAACAAAAAATAGGAAACATCTCCAAAGAAAGAAAAATCATAGAGACAAAATATTTTTTTTTGACACAGGGTCAAAGCAATGATAGCCTTTCTAAGAAAGAGGATAACCAAGAAAAACACACACGATAGCTTTGGGATCAAGTTTACCACGAGTAGGAGAGAGGTCTTGAACAAAACACTAACACCCAAAGGCACGCATAGGTATAGGAAACATTGGGGCCTTAGGGAAGAGGAATTGATGAGGAGACTTATTCTAGTAACCGAGATGGCGCCCTGTTGATAACATAGGCAGTAGTTAGAATAGCATCCACCCAAAATCTTTTTGGAACATGCATCTGTAACAACAGTCCCCAAGCAACTTCTAGAAGGTGGAGATTTTTTTTATGCAACCCCATCTTTTTGAGGGGTTCTAGCATAGGAGCTCCTGTGATGGGAGCCACAGGATGCAAAGAATTCTATGAGGTCATCATGAAAGTACTCCTTAATGTTGTCTGATTGAAAATTTTGAATCTCTGTTTGAAATTGGGTGTAGACCATATGCTGAAAATCTCTTATGAGTTTAGGGACTTCTTCCCTTGAGTGCATAGGATAAACCCAAGTATATCGAGAGAAGTCCTCAATAAAGGAGATGAAATATTTGTAGCCATTCTCAGTTGGAATATTAACAGGCCCCCAACAGAATACACAATATAAAAAGGAAAGTATAATCTTTTATTACATTAGGGAAAAGAAGTTTTGCTTATTCAGTTGACACACTTAACACTAAAAATCACTGACTAACACAAACTTAAACAAATCTGGAAACAAGTACTTCAAAGACTCCAAAGACATATGGCCCAAACAATGGTGCCACAAAATAACTTGACTCTTACTCGACTGAATCAAAGACACTAAGACCGCAAGACCAACTTTATTCTCTAGCACATAGAGACCATCGACCATGTTCCCTCTATCAATCGTCCTCCCGGAGGCCAAATCTTGAAAAATACAAGAGTATGGAAGATAAGATTATTGAACAATTCAAGGCATGTGTAATACTACTAATGGGCAACAAATTAGTGGGTAGCTTTAGAACATGTAAAACATTGGATAATGAAAGGTCAAAAGGCAAAGATATAGATCCTTGATCAACAATGGAGGAGAATGATTTATTAGCTAACCTCACTTTATCTTTGCTAGAGAGAAGAGTGTATGATTGCAACAAGGTTGACTTACCAGTCATATGGTTGGAGGCACCAAAATCAATAATCCATGGGGATTCTAGGTTATTAGTAGATATATGAAAAGTAGAGGCTGAGTTACCTAACAAGGAAGCAAACGAAGTTGAAGATGTGGATCCAAAATCTATCTGTCTAAGGGCCCTATCATATTGCTCCAAATGGTCACAAAAGGAATTGATAATGTCCTCCTTGGGATCAAAACAAGGGGGCAATCTTGAGAAGAACTCATGGTAGAAAAACCACCCTGATGCTCATGAGATGCTAAGTTTGTCGAGGTGAACTTCTTATGATTTGGATTCTTGCTCTTAGGGGTGTCAATTGAACTGGATTTGATCCAATCTGATCCAATCCGATGCGATTCCATTATAAATGGACCAGGTCCAATCCAGTCCAATGAATATTTTGGACCATTCTGGACTGGTCCAATTCAATGTCTGGACCATCCAATTTGTTCAAATTCGTTTTGATTTAGATTAGTTTCAACCCAAACTTGGTCCATTGACACCTATATTCTTATCTTATATCAATGGACCAGATATTGGCCTAATCCAACCCAATCCAATATAAATTTATTACGGATGGACCAAATCCAATCCAATCTAATAAATATTTTGGACCGGATTGGTCCAATCCAATATGTCTTGTTGGTCCGTCCAATCCGTCCAAATTGATTTTGGACTGGACAGGGTCCAATCCAAAACCGGTCCATTAACACCCTTACTTGCTCTGTTCTTGTGCTGATTTCTTGCTCAATTCCTGTTTCCACTTTGGTTTCCCATTCAATTCCCAACAAGTCTCACGGGTATGCCTGGATTTTCGACGGTGAGTTCACCATAGTTTATCTTTATCATC